CCTACCCGCGTCAGCTGGAGTCGCTGATTCGCCTGGCAGAGGCGCACGCAAAGATGCGCTTCAAGAACGTCGTCGAGGTGGACGACGTGGAGGAGGCAAAGCGACTGCACCGCGAAGCCCTCAAGCAGTCCGCCATTGACCCGACGTCGGGCAAAATCGACATCTCCATTCTCACCACTGGCATGAGCATGACCAACCGAAAGCGCCGCGGCGAGATCATCTCCGGTCTGAAGCAGGTGCTCGAGCGACTTCATGCTGGCCTGTCGGCGGACGGCGGCGCCGGTGATGCCTCTCAGTCGCACAGTCAGCTCAATCTGACCTACCAGAAGGTGTTTGAGGAGTTCAAGAGCTCCTCCAGCATGATGATCACGCGGGACATGTTTGAGGACGCGCTGAAGCAGCTCAAGGACGACGGCTTCCTCATCACCATCGGCAACAAGAGCATTCGACTGTGCGTCTGAGTGAGGGTGATAGCACACTTTCTTTTATCTCATCACACAATTATTTTAATCACTCATTATTTTCATAATCATTCTCAAGCCCACTCCTTCCCTCCCATTTTATGTTCATTTATTTTTTCTTTTTTAACCATATTTTAATTATCAAGAGGCAACTTGTGGTACTCACCCTCGCACACAAGCAGTATGTATTGAAATAATTCTGCAGTTTTGTACAACACAGACGGATAAATAAATGATGATGAATTTGAGTGACAGTGGCAGAGTTTGTTCAGCTGGTGGTGGCTGGAGGAGCTTAGGTTTCAGCCGAGTCCAAAATGGACATGCTGTAGGCCAGGTCCCAGTAGTGCTCGACGCCGTGGTTCTTGAACACTTCCCGGGCAAAGCTCTCGTTAGGGCTCATTTTAAACTTGATCTCCCCAAAGGCGCGTGTCTTCACCAGGCCCTCCCACACAAGGAAGCACTTGTTTTCCGACTTTTTGTCGACTTCATCTGAAAACAGATGAAACTGTTAGCCTATCAATTGGGTAAATCAATCAGTGAACTTACTGTTTTCAGTCATCGCCGGATCCTCTGACCACTTGATTCGATTGAGCATTNTTGTTTTCCGACTTTTTGTCGACTTCATCTGAAAACAGATGAAACTGTTAGCCTATCAATTGGGTAAATCAATCAGTGAACTTACTGTTTTCAGTCATCGCCGGATCCTCTGACCACTTGATTCGATTGAGCATTAGCCGTTTGAACTTTTTCTGCTGCTTGGGGCCACCTTCCACAACGACCACATTGATGTTCTTGTAGATGACCACCACACCGGTCAGCAGCAGCTGTTTGATGTTCGCTTCCACCTTGAACTTTTTGGCAGGATTGTTCAGGTTGAGAACTCGATACACGGTGACGTTCACACCCAGTGATGTGTCTTCCTTTATCTTGCGAATCTTCTTTTGCTTCTTCTGCTCACCGGTCAGCTGTCTGGCAGCATTTGCCTCTTCGTGTGCTCTGCGTGAAATGAGTAAAGATTAGAGAAACAGTAAATATTTTTAAATCAAAACATACTTTTGCCGCTTGAGCATTTGCTCTCGAACATGTGCCTCGATCTTGGTGGGATCTTGAACTGCCTGCTGTCCGAGTGCTCTCATCATATTGGACAGCTTCAACTTGGGCTCTGGTGGCGGCTCTAGACCCATTCGGATCTTGTCTTGTTTCTCCTTCCACGCTTCTCGCCGATTCTGTCGACGCAGCTTCTTTTGCTCTTGTTTCGTGAGAAAAACAGGTAACAGGACAGTTTTGGTTGGCTCATCTGCAAATGCAATGAATTGTTTTAGGCTCAAGTATTCGACGAAAAATACTTACGAGGTGGTTTCATTTGAACAGGATGCTCAATGAGGTGAGTAATGCCGTCATACTTGTTCTTCGGCTCATTCTGATTAGAGATTGACTCTTCATAAGTAGAATCTTTCATGACAAAACTGTCCCACCACTCGACATCAGGAATTTCGTCTTCCTTTGACTGTTTCTTAGGAACGATGGAGCTGAGCAGAGCTAATCGAGCAGCCGAACTGATGCCCGTCTTTTTTGCCTTTTGGGCAATCTCCTTTTGCAGCAGCTCAAGCTGTGCCTTGGTTCGGATTTTCTGTCCAATCGTCTCAAAAGTGCCTTTTTCAACGAACTTGAATCCTCGCTTTTGCCTGACTGGTGCCTTTATGTCCAAGCGGTTATCAACGAACTTTACCTCCGCTGAACTGCCAGACTGCTTCTCGTGATTCAACTTGACAAACTGCTCCTTCTTTTGTGCTCTTATGTTTGCCTTCAGAGTTGGCATTCGCTGAATCAACTGCACTTCCTTGCCAGACTGATCTACTGTCCGTCCTTCTGCGTTCAGAATTAAAGGTGTTGGCCTTAAAGGCTTACCCTTGTCATCGGGATTAGGATTGACAAGTGTCTGGTTAGCCATCCTCGCTTGAATCTGCGCTGTAAGCAAAGCTATCCTCGCTTTGCTGTCCAATTTAGCCATGGCACTGGTATCTTCTGCTGGCTCTGTTTTAACTTGGGTTAGGCTTGTCGGTAGTAAGGAAGAATTCTGTATGAAAACAAAATAAATTGTAACATAACAAAATCAAACATATGCGCCTTACGTTTTGTCGAATTCTTTCTCCAAGGGCTTTTCTTGCATTAGCAATAACTTCCTCAACTTGTTCAGCATTTGGAATTGGCGAATTGGACGGAGGAGGCTCCATCATATCAAAACGAGACCGTTTGGCCGGTCTTACACCGTTCTGCAAAGAATAATAAACAATTAGGAGCCGATGAATTGGATGCTCATAAAAACAAACTGTGCCCTTACCTCTGAAGCCATGATTGTAAGTTATTTTAGTGATTAAGTTGCTGTTGAAATGTGTACAATAATTTGAAGGTAATGTTGTTTACTTTCTTAAAAATGCAAACTTGGTAGAAAATCCTCGCACTTGACACAAAGCAATGTGTGCGGAAAGAAATCACAATCAGCTGGCCGCTTTGTGCCGGCAAGTTTCCCAGCGCCCAAAAGTATTTCGGAAATGTTTTCAATCAGCTGACCACCTTCAATCAGATCTAATCAATAATCTCAATAATTTTATAATTTTACAGAATCCAGAATAGAAGAATATTTAGAATTATTTTATTTTCTAGTGATAACATTTCAATATAGTGTCTTTAATGATGGTTTGCCTAATGGCTATAACTTTTTATTGTTTCGAATGAATGTAGAAGCTTATGAGAAGATGATTGCACCTGGAACAACAGTTTTCCCAACATCATTATCGATCGATATAGAGATTACGAATCGACAAAAGAAAAATGTAGTTTAAAATCGAAATCAGGTCAAGTATGGTCAACTGGTCCGTTAGTTCAGTGATAACTATGTGTATTGAGTGCACTGTGCTTCAGTAGTCTGGAATGGGTGCACTGATGATTTTGACGAAATCTTCGTACTTGAAGTACGGCCCGGAAATGTTGGCTTCTTTGAGCAGCTGTTCAAACTCCTTCGGAATGAGCTTCTCTCCCCAGCCGCAGAGAATGTGCTTGAGATCTCGGGTCATCATCTGTCCACTGCGCGCCCAATCGGTGGCTACAAAGGCGTCTAGAATTTCCTGTGGTATCTTCTCCTTCACCGAGTGCGTGTGCATTACATCGAGCAGATCCGCAAATGATATCTTGCCATCTATGGCCATTTGGAAAGATGAACAAAAGCAAGTGCAAATTAGCACAAACACAAACAAGTGTGGTGTAATGAGGTAATTAAGTTTACTTTTCTCCTTGAAATACTTCTCCAGCTCGTCATCGGTGGGGCTCTGGCCGAGTGAGCGCATTATCGTCTTCAACTCTTCCACCGAGGTGATGTGGCCACTGTTGGGCTGCGTCTTCAGGTAGAAGCAGTCGCGAAATTCATCAATATCCTGCTCCTTGAAATAAAGTGCCTAATGGATTGGAAGAAGTAATCAGTTCACAAAGAGTGCTCTTGAAAACAACAACTTACCATGATTTCAAGTAAATAAGAGATAAGCCAGCGATGACCAAAACTGTCAACAGCGAGAGTTGTTTTGATGAGCAACCAAGAACAAAATCGCTCAATCAGTCAACAGGTGCACACTCCACCTGGCGTCCACCAGTGGAGGCACATTAGTACAGAGTGGCAGGTGCAGTGAAGGCGCGAGATTCTCTCTGTCCTGCTGCTATCAATAGCTGGTCGTCACCTGACGACCAACCGATGTTATAGTGCCATTAAAGTGGATTGAGTGGTTTATTCAATTAACCGGCCCCCGCTTGTTTGTAATTTGATCTTGTAAGCAGTGTGATTTAGAGTCTCCAGTTTCGAACATCCATACACCACCACAAACACTAATGGTGGAACATGCTTTACATTCCAGTTCGATGTTTACTCAGCAGTGGTCGGGGTGATGGAGCTGCTTCAGCAATTAGTCGCTGAACTACTATACACAGACGACAGCGTCATCAGTGATACGAATCAAAGGACAGTGGCTGGTGGTGATGCCCACTTTGCCGATGGCGACTAACCATTAACGCTGGCGCACTGAATGCTTGATCGCTAATTACTGCTGATCGGCTGTCGTCGAGCGACTTCCAACCGTTGCGCAATTTGGGTGGCCACCAATAGTGCTGTTATGAGTGTTCGCAGTGATGCTGCCGTTCACTGCTGCCGACTGCCAACTCAACTGTCGCCCACTCGTCGCCAAAGATGGCCAAAGCTTACTGATCTCCGCTTCTTCTTCTTCTTCTGCTTATTCTTCTCCTTCTTAAAGTGGAAATCGGTGCTGTCTCTTCACTTGGACGCCTGTAGTTGCAGTCACATACAGCAGCAGCAGCAGTGCCGCCAACTGTTCTCCTAAAATAGTGCGCCCGCTGTACTGTTTGTCTGTCGCCAGAGTTGGCCTCCGCTGGCCCGATTTCGTTAGCTTTTGGCAAGTGATCTTAGCCGCCGAACAACAAACAGACAGTGCCGGTGGACGAGATTAGCCCTCTTGACAGCATGGCTCAACTGAGGTGCCTCTCTTTTTTTGCTGGCAATCTCTGCACTTTCGCCTGCACGATTGCCGTCGCTTGCGTAATGCCGCAACTTTTTTCCTTCTGAATCCTACTCACTGGAGTTTGAAATGAGAAACACGAGGAAAGCTCTTTTCTTTCGCTGCTCACTTGCTACCGTTTTGAGCTCAATGACCACCACCACCACTACTACTAGCAGTCGATATTTTGCAGTAGTCTGGCCAGGAAGAGAGAGTGAAAGTGAGCGACCAGATCCTGAACAACAAAGTAAAGGAAAAAAGCAAGGCAACTCACCTAATAGGAAACCATGCGGCATATCCGTCGCCGGCGGCGGCGCGCGCACGCTCTCCGATTCTGGGTCGAGTTTGCGCAGCAGCAGCACCACCACCAGACAGCATGTGAAAGATAGACTGATGAAGAAGCCCACTGCCGCCGCTTCTGCTGCTACTGCTCCTCCTCCTCCTCCGTCAGTCACTGCTGCTGTCGAGCGCGCGCGCCTCCTCGCCGTTCCATGTGAGTCTGGCATTTTTTTCTATTTCTTTTTTGCAGACACACACACCGACAGACGAACATACACACACATACACACATACTCACACCAAAGACCATTACCTTCGCGTGTCGTCGTCGGCTGGCCAGAGAGAGCGAGAGACCAGGACACTTGACCAGCAGCAGCATTAAACGCGAGCACTTTTGCTGCAACACACACCGCCACCGCCACCGCCACCGCCGTCGAGCATTACAACACACAATCAATTAATTGCCACAGATTAATCAGACACTGCTGACCGCCACCACCGCCAACACACACCAACACGCGCTTTATTTTGTTTGAAGTCTTCACGAGGAATTATGTTGAAATGGATTCTCGCTTCGTGTTCTGTCCTGGTTATCAGTGTAGTGGGCGCACTGGTCGTTCTGATCGTGCCGTTTCTCCAACATGACCACCAGAGCAACGTCAGCCAGCTCTTTGTTGGTCTGGCAATGGGCACCCTCACTTCAGATGCTCTACTCCATCTGTTACCTCATGTAAGTGGAACCCTTTTCCTCCTTAATCCTTCTGTTTACCCCGTTGTTTACACCGCTAAAACACCTTCATCTTTAGGCATTTTTCAAAAAAGCACATAAGCACGGCAATGATATGACAACTGATACCGGGCACCAGAATCACAGTGCCCACCTGCATGAAAAACTTCCTGAGGAAGGCAAAACTGAAGGGCATCACAGTCACGACGATTACGTTTGGATCGGCATGATGTGTCTACTGGGCATTATTGGATTTTACGTCTTTGAGCGCCTGGTTTCAATTCTTCGCGATCTCTCCCATGAACACGCGCACGAAGACGATTCCACTGTGAGTACTAAAAAAGCCTTTCAAGAAAACGTAGCCAAAATGTCAGTTTGTTTTTTCAAACTGCACAGAGTCTTTCTATCTCACTTTTTTGAAAGACGCATGATTTGCGGTTTTTATCTACAAAAGAGTGGTTGTCTATCACTGTCGCTGCATTAGCCTTCATTAGTGGCAGTGTTAAGTAAACACACTTCTGCTAATCGATATTGCACTGGCTGCTAACTGCCACCACGAACCAGTCTATCGAAAATGTGCATAATAATGATCTTTTACTGACTATCAAAGTATGCCAAACTCAGGGGTCTTTTAGCTGCATCACAGTGGCAGTGTAGTGTAAGCTGCGTACATTGCTGCTAGCACTGGTAGACGCTAGCGCATAGGCGAAATAGCATCGGAAATGAGTTTGACACACACCGTAATGACATTTGTTTAATTTATTTTTCCGTCCGCAGAAGAGTCAAAGGTGTGCCTCCATTGCTCCCAACTCGGCGCTGATGCCACCGGAGCTGGAAAAGCTGAACCACAAGCATGAGCACGAGATGAAGGAGAAAAGTGCCGTGGAGGGAAACCACGCGGGAGCACTGATGAACGGTGGCAGTGAAGTTCAGGTACACGATGAATGTCACCGGTCGACGATAACCTTTGCCAACCCGGACGGAGAAGGGTACATGCACCTCGGAGCACACCACCACCACCACCACAAAGCGGCCAAAGCGCCGAATGCCGCCTTGATGGTCCTCATCGGTGACATTGTACACAACTTGTTCGACGGAATAGCCATTGGTGTCGCCTTTTCCGGCCATGAAATTTGGGGCGGTAGGTGCTTTACACAGTGTGCTCACAGTGTGAGCACTGCGGCCTTTACTAACCATCTTTTGTTGCCGTCGTCTTTGCATCCTCCTCTCCAGGTATCAGCACATCAATCGCCGTCCTCTGCCATGAGCTGCCTCACGAGCTGGGAGACTTTTCCATCATCATTCGAAATGGCATGAAAGTTCGCCACGCCTTTCTNTGTCGTCTTTGCATCCTCCTCTCCAGGTATCAGCACATCAATCGCCGTCCTCTGCCATGAGCTGCCTCACGAGCTGGGAGACTTTTCTATCATTATTCGAAATGGCATGAAGGTTCGCCACGCCTTTCTCTGGAACCTCGGTGCCTCATTCATCTGCTGGGTTGGCATGGCCATTGGTCTGCTGATTGGAAATAACGCTGAACAAGCCTGGCTTTACGCCTTCATCGGGGGCACCTTTCTCTACATTTCACTCGTCGACATGGTGCCAGAGCTTGACTCCTGTCCGCACTTGCCCAGCAAGAACCAGGTCATCAAACTGACAGTCCAGACGGTGGGCATCTCGGTGGGCGTCGTAATCATGCTTGTGATATCTCTATACGAGGAAAAACTTGAGAATATTTTGAAGGCCCCAGTCTAGATGGAAAGGTTTTCCCACCAAACGAGCGATGTGTTGCAGTAACAACAACACAGGCATTGCCCAAACACACTCGACATTTCATCAAACTCATACCTTTTTTGCAGAGAATTACACAAACACTTTTTATTGTTGTCGAAGGAACGATATCTAAGCAATCATACACACACGCACCACTTTGAGATTTTCATCGTCCCATTGCCTTCAACCACTTCGCATTTGCCCCATTGGTCGACGACCTACTCAATCGATCGAGATATCGACTTACCACTACCAACACGGACAACTAACAACCTGTCACTTTGATGATTGAAAATGCGCAACACAGCAAACTCGGCATTTGTTTTCCCTGGACACATCGACAACCAACACACAAACACCAATGCCGCCGCGGACACAAACTCCGCATTTCTCACTTCAGTTTTCCCGCCAACTAATCTACTAGAATGCATTTTCCCTACTGAAAAAGCGTTTGCCTCTCTCTCTCTCTCACTCTCACTCCTACAACCTCTTCTTTCTTTCTCTTCCACTCTGTTTGATATCGGCGAATCACCTTCACCCACTACTGTGATATCCTTTTCAGAGAAACTTTTACTCTATATTTTGTACTTGATATTTTGCCTGTTTACTTACGTTCAAGATATCAGCTATCTGTGAGTGTGTTGAGGACACTAGTGCACTGGTGTTTTGTTACACCGCAGATAGCTCCCAAGTCATTCACTGTTTTCTAGTTTTGTTGTTTCTTCCACTCGGTGAGGAGAGAGGGGCACCGGTGTGTGTATGTGTGATCGTCTTTGCGGTGGTTTGCCAGAAAAGTGGCAACCGCTTCATCACTCTTTTACTTTTGTCCATTTCCTTATAGTTTGCTCCAATCGTCATTAAATAAATCCCACCAATTCGCTCTTTTCAGCGTTTTCTTTAATTTATTTATTTTTCATTAATAACTTACCCACTTTGTCGGATTCACTGATATATATTTACACGGAAGAAGTGACTTGTATTGCAAATGAAAGTGATGTGTGTGTGTGATTCTATGGCTCAAAAGTCCACTGTACATCGCACTGGCCATCCGGCGCCGCCGCCCCTGCTTTGAGGGACAACTTTTGGAGTAAATCAACGGGCACTTTACTGTGGGCAGTATTACTGGGCGAGGGCGAGGCGGAGGAGTTGGCTGCGTACTGCTTCATTGGCGTCAGGTGGCTGCTCCACAAACAGGGAGAGCAGTTCTCCTTGAGCAGTTGCAGCAAATTGTGATGCGACTTTTTGGCTTGCTTCACAAAACTATGACGAAGTAGGGCGGCTGCGGTTGGTCTGTATGTGTGTTTCAAACAAAAAAAGGTTAGAGTCGGTGACGGAAATCATCAAGAGTACTAGTACCTCGAGTAGCTGTCGAAATGGAGACAATTCTCTTTTGTGAACTTGTGAAAAGACGACGAAAATGTTCTGCCTCGGTACAGGTTGTACTTCTCTCTTACATCAGGAGTGAGATCTGCAAGGAGAAAAGTTGCTTAGTAATGATAATGAAAACAAACAAAAAAGGTCTGATCAATACCTTCAACGTCGGTTGGAAAGTTTATTATTTCTTCGCACGTAGCATCGAGCGGCTTGGGATAGTTGCCGGTAAGCTTGTCGAGTAACATCTCCGTTAGCTGAATGTCCTCGAAGGGCACACATCCGTTGGCCATCTCGCAGCAGACGATTCCCAGGCTGTAGATGTCCGACTTTGAGTTGTAGCCGGTGATGTTCTGCTGCAGAATCTCTGGCGCAAAGTAGTTCATGATCTTGAGGGCGTTCTGGGGAAACTCGTGGATGGTGTTGTGCCACCGACCGTCCTTTAGTACTGAGGTAGAATACTTGAGGCCAGTGAGCATGCAGTGGCCGTTGGAGTTGATGAGAATGTGCGGACCGCAAACGGCACGATGAATGATGCCTGTGGGAAGGGTCAGATTAAAATCACTGAAATTGATTAGGGGCAAGTAGAACACACAGTACCTCGCTTGTGAAGGTAGTCAAGTGCAAAGAGGACATCCCGGACGATGATTGCAATTGCCAGCTCGGAAATGCCATTCGGCCTTGACCAGATGTCCACGGAGCCGTACTCGGCGGAGGTGATCACATTCCAGAGGTGCCGCTCAATGACAAACGACGAGAGAAGTGGCAGCAGGTTGGGGTGGTGCAACTGACGAATGGTGTTGATCTCGAAGCTCACGTAGTCGAGCAACTCCTCCTCGTCTAGGTCGATTAGCTTGAGCACTACGGTGTGGTTGGTGAGCAAGTGATTTGCCCGAAATATCTGCACCTTTTTGTTGTCCTCGCTCAGGTCCTGAAGGACGGTGGTCAGGTGAAAGGCCGAGGGCTTCAGCGCCGAGACGGAGATGAACGATTTGCTCCATTTGTACTCCTGTTCACAGAACTTGATCAACTCTTCGGGATGGGAAGTCTGAGTTCGATGGCGGCCTAAGTTGAAAACCATCGTGCACAAGGTCCTTCAAGCACAACTTCATCACCGGCTCTTTTCTCGTTCTCTCTTCCCTTCCCGAGCAAACACTTTCTTTCGGCACTCCAATACAACCACTTCAAATTGTTCTTCTTTAATCAACAAAACACTCTCACTTGTTTACTAAAACATTTTCAGGGTTGAATGGAAATGTGTTGTGTCTTCAGACTTGATGAGGAAAAATGCAATGGGAAAAAAGCAAAACAAGTATTTTTTTGCAGGCGCCCGTGTCGCCTTCTGTTGCGTACGATTCGAATGTTTGAAATCAGCAAAAAGAAGAAAAAAGTTGACTCAAAAGCCGACTCAAACTCTGGAGTCCGGAGAGAATCACCGAGCCGTGGCGCTGTCAATCGACCATGACACTTCCCACTTGCCACCTCCTTTCACTGCCAGGGAGCACACTTTTGGTTGTGAAGACGAACAAAGAAGCAGCCATCATGCTTCAAAGGTAAGCTACTGATTCACTGCTGTAGTGCCGGTAAAGAACATTCTGTTCTCTGCAGTTTACTAGATTTACTGACCAGCTGTCGGCCGCCAACGTCAGTTACTTCGGTCGCCCCACTGTCAACTTCTTTGTGCCAAAGATTTGGTAATCGCCACAGCTTTCACTGACGATTAACTCGATCTCTTGATCCTCGGCTAATCTGACGGAGAAAACATCTTGCAGTAGAAAGTCAAAGATAATCACACTGACCACTGTTTTCCCTTTTGAGCTACTTCTGACCGCCTAAAATACAAGTGCTCGAGATTTAAAACGATTTGCCACTTGTCTGAATAATACGTGTATGTCTAGATTTTGTTTGTTTTGCCTCGATTTCATTTCATTCGCCGTGCGGAAGAGGGCAATTTATCGCCAGTGGCCAGTCTGAAAGTCTGAAATTGTTGTCCTTTTCTGAGCCACGAACGACATCCTAATCGACAGACTGTGTGCTGACAGCGATGGACAATGGCGATCTACGACAATCAAAAACACAATCACACTCAGACAGTCACATCAGACGCACAATCGCCGTGAATCAATCTCCTCACGTCTGTCTCCGTCGTAAGCGAGAGAAGTAATGTACCGAAAAGATACGTGCACAGCCGCCGGTAGTGGGTAATTTTTCGTCTCACTTCGATTGCGTTGGTCATGATCATCTCTTGCAAGGATAATTAGTGTAAGTCCTGCTTAAGGACTTTCTCTGCGGTGATTGCTCTTACAGGGAGAAAGCTGCTGCTGCTGCTGCTGCTGAGAGCTTCATCATCTTCTGCTGTCCCCTACCACTTGAAATCGGACAGAATCGGCTGCTTTCCGTGCTCTCAAGTGCAGTGTACCCATAAGCAGTCTGTGGCATACTTACCGTTCCTGTACACACACAAACATTGTGTTTGCAATGTGTTTGCTCAGGCCAACACAGCGGTAGCGAGGAATGAGCCATCTTCAGAGCGAGTGTGTACCTTCAGTTAGTTGACTTCATCTGTCACCAGCAGACGGGCGACAGCGCCAATGCCAAGTGGCCAAGTGTGAATAATGTACAGACAAACTTTGGCAAATATGTCCGTATGAAGGTGGTGATTGTGGAGCTGGTGATTAATTGACTCTCTGTCTGACTGCTCGCCCCAATGAATGCCTTCTTTCTTTCTTTCTCTTTCTCTCCACAAAGATCGACGGCACTGTCTGACTGACTTTGACTATTGATTTGGACCGTTTCTGCCGACTGTCTGTCGCCTAATTGTACTGACACACTCGCTCACTTTGCATTTGCACTACTTTCCTTCTCTCCTTGCCGTACTGCACTGTATTCGAACAGTGCATTAGAAAGTAGTACTTTCCTTTGGCGCTCTTTTCCGTTTTCCTCCTTCCCCTCCTCTCATCTTTTCATCTTCTTCGACTTGTACTTGGACAACTGCGGGGTTACCGCCGCCGCTTTCTGAGAAAAGTGCACTTGACAGACTTTATTCAGCCGTCTTTTCCCTTTATTCTTCAGTGCACTGGGCCAGTGTGCGAACGACAGATGATGTCCGGCAAATAATGGTGGTAGTAATGCTGGTGGTGGTGGTGGTGCAACATCACGCAACAAATGCAAAGAATGTGTGTCCTGACTGTTGCCTGGCTGCTCAGGTGAACTTGCGGACACATCTTCATGCCTGCATCCGTTCGCCTACATTTAGGGCACCCCTGTCTCTGTCCTATTTATTGGCGTACTTTTCATTGAAACTTAATAAAAGTTTCGATGGAATCAGGCTAAACTTAGACTGCCGCTTTAATTAGGTTTAACCATTGTAATCGTAATAACTTAACTATTTGCAAAGCTCCCACTGCATGTGAGGCATGATCGATTCCTGTTCCTCTCTGCGGGCATCCCACAGGATCGCGCAATATCAGCTGTCGCAATTTGCATCTCACACGAGACCACTCATGCACTCGATCCTTTTTCTTCTCTTCATTTTTGTCTATCTATCTATCTATCTATCTATCTTTTCTCTGTCTTTGCAGCACCTGTCAGCATCCCGCCGAGAACAGCCAGCAACAACTGTCCGGCACCAATTGTTGTCTTCACCATGTCCGACTTGGCTGACTGTGAGTCCGACTGAACAGTTGGCAGACTGTGCTAATTAGTTAATTGCCGCAATGCCATTGTTTGACCACTTCAGGCGCTGATGCTGCTGCTCCACTGCTGGACACTGCTTTCTAAATTGAGCCGACTCTGCACACGCGTTCACGAGGAGGACAACAATCCGGCGACAATAGCCTCTCCTGCTGGTAAGTGGTAGAAGTAGTGAGAGTGAACCCGTTTGTAATTCATGTCGCCCGCACAATGCACTGGTTAATGTGCTTTTGTTTTTGTGTTTGTGTGAGTGTGTGCACTCGCATTCCCGCTAACTCACACTGGAGACCCATCTTTCAAACTCTTTTCGCTGAATTGTGATCACCAACAGAATCGCTGTTATCGCCTTTAATTAAGCCACCAACTCAGCAGCACGCCAAATGGTTCGTAATGGTGAAACGTGGTGTCTTCTCACAGCGCATTCATTCACTGCTCTTTCTGGTTGCTATTTCGGGTGCTGTTGTTTCCAGTGCTCCGTCGGTCCACTAGTCTGGCTTTGCTTACTTCCCAGTTTTTAGGCGTAGGTGCACACTCATTGCCATTCATGCACTCACTCATTCATTCATTCACTCTGCCTCCTACCCTGCTACTACTTTGTACCCAGCACCGGTGGAACCCCGGTGAATCTAAGCGACATTTGGAACAATCTATCTTCATTTGCGGTGACATTCACCTGTGCNTAGGCGTAGGTGCACACTCATTGCCATTCATGCACTCACTCATTCATTCATTCACTCTGCCTCCTTTGTACCCAGCACCGGTGGAACCCCGGTGAATCTAAGCGACATTCGGGACAATCTATCTTCATTTGCGGTGACATTCACCTGTGCGTTTATGGTTTATGGCTGTGCTGGCCAGAGCAATTGTTTCCAACAATAGACCACAGTTTTCATCACAGACTGCTTATGAGTCATGACCATTCAAAGGTGAATGACGGAATTTGTATCACATAGTTTGAACAGTGCACAAGCAAAAGTGACTAGCACCTTGTTGTGTACTTCTGGCACACAAACACACACCATCTTTTCCGCTTCTAGGTTCTTTTGTGTCCCTTTCACCGGGGTGACATGTTCGCCAATCGTGCTTTCTATTATTGAGCTAATGCAAATCGGGATTGAACAGACTGGCTGAGGTTCATTCCACTCTGTCCGAATGATCAAAGGCACTGGCAAAAGGGAAAGGGAGAGAGATTAATTGTACCTGCCCACAGGCACAGCAAATGAACTGATCCGTCACTGGCAATTAACTGCTCCGATTCTCTTCATTAGGGTTGCAGCAGGACAGAATCGTGCAGAGTCGGACCAGAAGACTGGAGTTGGCCTTACAGCCAACTCATCAAGTCTGCTGTGCCAGCCAGATTCTGTCCAGCGGCGGCATTTCCTTTTTGTCTGTCTGCCTCTGTCAGACTGGCTAGCGGTGGTTCGATTAATGAACACAGGGCAATGGTCGCTTCTCGTTTAGCAGTAGCAGCGGGGGCACTGCAACTTTCATCATCAGCTCTTGCTGCATCTAAAGCGACTGAGGGGAACTAGCCCATTCACTTCCTCATCGTCTCTCCATCAACTCAGCGAAAGGAAAAGAAACAAAAACGAGTACAGTGTCCGACTGAAAGGGTTCAAGAGGATGGCTGGAGAGTAACTTAAGCTCTTTCTGATCGTAGTTGCTCCTGTTCTTGTGCCTGGCCAGTTACTACCACCTTGTTCAATTAGAATCGCTAAGTAGCAGCAAGAGCAGCAGCATCACTAGCGCAATTTAGCGGATAATGACATTGTAGTAGACTAACTTGTAAAGGGTTGCCGCTGCTGAACTGCATGTGGCGCCTTTGTTGTTGGCGCCATTGAGCGGTCGTGAACGGCACGGGAAGGGAATTGCGATGACGATGCCTCTGCTAATTGCCGGGTTGGACGATGATGGCAAGGTTGACGGTCACTGAGGATGCTCCTGTTGCTGCTGATGTTGTTGTTGATGGTGGTGCTCATCCACTGCGAAACTGCTCGTTTGTTCAGCTCGTCTTGCTTTGCTTGATCGCTTCCGAAATTGGCCGTCAAAGCTGAGGCTGCTGTCGCCGTTACTGCTGCTGCTGTTAGTTAGGCCAGTGGCTGACTGACTGACA